GCGGCCGTCGCCCGCGGGCGCGCCCAGCCCGCACCTGCTCGCCGGCGGCCAGGAGCTCTTCTCCGATGCGCTCGAGGGGCCCAGCTCGAGCACCTGCTTCTCAGTGTTTGAAGTGCAATGCAGTAATTCTATTTTACCGTTTTCTTTTGAAACACTCAACTTGGGGGAAGAAGAGACAGACTCTAGTGCGAACGTGCTCGGGAGAACCCAGTCCAGGTTGCTGATTTGGACCAGAAATAGTGCCTTTGAAGAGAACGAACACTGTTCTAATCTCTCCACGAGAACCTGTAGTCCGTGGTCCCACTCAGAAGAAACCCGCTCCGACAACGAGACTGTAGGCGTTCAGCTCGAAGAATCCACGCAGTTCAACGCAGAAGATGTTAATTATGTTGTTCCTAGAGTCTCGTCAAATTATGTAGATGAAGAACTTCTAGATTTTCTGCAAGATGAAACTTGCCAACAAAATAGTAGAACTTTAGGAGAAATTCCCACGGTAGTTTTCAAAAAAAAATCTAAACTAGAATCTGTCTGTGGGATTCAGCTGGAGCAAAAGCCAGAAAGCAAAACCTTTGAAACTGCACCAGTGTGTGGTGGAAGCAGCCCGCGTGGAGATGGCTACAGCTCAGGGGTTATTAAAGACATTTGGACAAAAATGGCAGATAGGAGTCCTGTGGCTCTGGTAGAAGTAGAGAGAGTTGCTGACGAGTTGTTTCCGACAGATGTAAATAACTACTGCTGCTGTCTGGATGCGGAAGGGAAAGCGGAGCCCCTGCAGGAGCCCAGCAAGGCCGTGCAGAGGTCCGAGTACCATCTGTGGGAGGGACAGAGAGAGAACCTGGAGAAGAGAGCTTTTGTTTCTAGTGAGCTCTCCAAGGTGGACGGTGGTGACTATACGACTCCCTCCAAGCCCTGGGATGGAGCCCAAGAGAAAGAGAACACCTTCATTCTTGGAGGGGTTTACGGAGAACTGAAAAGCTTCAGTAGCGACGGGGAGTGGGCCGTCGTGCCGCCCAGCCACACGAAAGGAAGCTTGTTGCAGTGCGCGGCCTCCGACGTCGTGACTATCGCGGGCACGGATGTCTTCATGACCCCGGGAAACAGCTTCGCTCCGGGCCACAGGCAGTTGTGGAAGCCCTTCGTGTCGCTGGAGCAGAGTGACCCGCCGAGGAGCGGGGAGAATGGATTGAATAAGGGATTTTCTTTTGTCTTCCATGAAGACTTACTGGGAGCTTGTGGTAACTTTCAGGTTGAAGATCCTGGACTTGAATATTCATTCTCTTCCTTCGACTTAAACAACCCATTTTCACAGGTTCTCCACGTAGAATGTTCATTCGAACCGGAAGGGATTGCGTCTTTCAGCCCTAGTTTTAAACCGAAGTCAATCCTCTGCTCCGATTCAGACAGTGAAGTTTTTCACCCCAGGGTATGTGGCGTGGACAGAACACAATACAGGGCTATTCGGATCTCCCCTAGGACTCATTTCCGCCCGATCTCTGCGTCTGAGCTGTCCCCGGGAGGAGGGAGCGAGTCTGAGTTTGAGTCTGAGAAAGACGAAGCCCATGTCCCCGTTCCTCCTCAGGTCGACGCTTTCGAAGACCCGCAGGCGGACCTCACGCCGCTCGAAGAGGATGCGGAGAAAGAAGGCCACTACTACGGGCAGTCGGAGCTGGAGTCGGGGAGGTTCCTCCCCAGGCTGAAGAGGTCTGGGATGGAAAAGAGCGCCCAGACGTCACTGGATTCCCAGGAGGAGCCAGCTGGGACCCTGCCAGCGGGAAAGCAGAGCCAGTGTTTGGAATGTAGCATGAGCGAATCTCTGGATATCAATTTAGAAAGCTCGGAAGCAAATTGTAAAATAATGGCACAATGTGAGGAAGAAGTTAATAATCTTTGCAGTTGCAAAGCAGGTTGTCAGTTCCCTGCTTACGAAGATAACCCCGCTCCTTCTGGACAGCTGGAGGAGGTATGTCTGGGGGGTGTGGGGGTTTATTTGATAAAGGAATTAGATCAGACTTGACCCCAAGAACAGCCACATCAGGCAGGGAAAGATGGGGTTAAATTATTGGGAAATGAGCATAACTGTCTTAAAAATAATCATTCTTATCATTTTACATAAGGACTTAAAATGGTTGATGTTTAGAAACTTGAACTAGACATTTTCTGCAGAGAAAAGACATTTTAAAACAAATCACAGGATGTAAGAGTCTTATGTGTTGGCTTAATATGCACATATTATGCTTAAAGCAGAACCTAATGCATAAGCCTTACAGCTTCCACAGTTGATGAGTTGGGGTGGCGCTTACTCTTCAAAAGGCCCTTTTGTTGGTGGCAGCGGGAATGGTACCAGGTGTTAGAACAGTGGGGTCAAACCACCTTGGTACTTGAGTTCTGGCTAGGAAAGAATTCAGAGCCGATACTCAGACTGTAAGAGAACATTTTAGACAATCATAGAGGCAGAAGTAATTTGTAGCAGAAATGGCCTTAGGAAACAGATTATAGAGGCAAAGGAAAGGGGCCTTGGAGCTTAGACGTGAGGAAGGTCAAGGTGAGGGCTTGGGGGAGCGGGGAAAGGCCCACGCATGCTCCCTGGAGGGAGAGTGCTGGGTCCTCTCTCCTAAGGGTTTTAAGGGGGGAGATTTTAAGGGAGGTCCCAGGGGAAGATCTTGATAGAATATTGAGCAGCTTTCCAGGGGTGCTCTTTCTAGGTAATGCTATCTGCTGATTGGTCAGCGCCAGGGGTCATTACCCAATGCAGCTGGTCCTGATGTCAGCTGTGGGGTCTCTTGTCTGGTTTTGCTACTTTTCTGGGCCTGGAGCTGAAATACAACTGAGGCCTAGATGTTATCTCGGGAGGAAAGGTCGGGGCTCCAAACTGCATGACCAGCTAGATATGCTAGGGGACAAAAGGTCACCCTGGGGACAAGGTCCTACGTTGCACTTGTCTGTTGCTAGGCACCCGGGGCTTTCTGCCATGGTGACTTCCTGTATCTGGCCCATCCTTGCCTTGCTCATGTCTGTCTGACTGCCCACCACACTTTGCTCTTCAGAAGTAGCAAGTCCCTCTAACTGCCTCTGAAACACTGAAGTCAGTGGAACCTGCATTGAGTTCTCTACAGTACACCGTGGCGCATGTAAAACCGAACCCACAATTTAAGTGCAGGAAAACGGCTGCAGAACCTGCAGAACCTGTACAAATGTACCTCGATTTATACATAGTACATACCCCTGAAGCTATGGGAATTGTCTGTTACATCTGACAACTGAGTAGTAGTTTTGTTACTGGGAATCGGTGTACCCTTTGTGCCTAAGGAGTGGTTTGAGGTTAAATTGATTATACAAGAAACAACACTGAATGCACAACTACCTGTTTCATGAGGAAGCACAGTGATCTGCCCCTTTCCCGCCATTATTTGATAGAGCAGCACCTGGCCTTTCTCAGGAACACAGTTAAAAAGACAGTTGGAGGTGGTTAGAGGTCATGACCCCTGTGGTCTGAGAGCAGATGAGTGTCGCCCTTCCTCCCAGTTGTCCACACCCCACCCACCTTTGGCTCATCTAGATCCTACCTGTGCTATGAGGCCCTCAGATCCCACCTCCCTCGTTGGCACGTTCCCTGATTCCTCTCAACTCCCACTCCACCCCCTCCTGCATCAGAAGCAGTACCTCCCTTCTCTTAATTTTCCATGCATTGCTTGCCTCTTAATTGCATTTTCCATTCTTCACGAGTCACTTACAGACTTTCATTAGATTTTAAGCTCCTTATGGGTGCAGACCGTGCCTTCCTCATTTGCTGGTCAGCGCCCGGGTCTGGACCTGGGTGCGTGTGACAGCAGGAAGCTCACAGGCGACAGGAAGCTGCTCTAAGGAGCCTGCCTGGAGGGCCTGGAGACAGGGATCCAATCACATTCAAACACCGAACCTAACTTGCAGAGAAGAAAGCCAGTGTTGCTGGCCTTTATCTGTGTGTCCGCTGCCCCGCCTTCCACCCTTAAATATTCCTTTCTGTACTTTGTATCTCACTGGCTCCAGATTGGGAAGAAAGAAAAGGAGGGAAGGAGCTTGATGCCGCATCGCGCTACTGCACTTCCATATTCCTGCGCTTCTCGTATGTTGATGTGTTCATGTGTTATCAGAATTCTGGGCTGTCTGCAAGTTTTTAGCCACCAGTAGTCCTCAGAGGACATTGTGGGGTCACCTGATGGTCTCGATGTTGTTGGTACCACCAACCCTTGTCTTGGCAGCGTCACCACAGTTTAGAGCCCATCGGAGCCCACTTCGTAGATTCCTAGGGGGGAGAGGTGGAGAGAGTGGCCTGGAAGGACAGCTTGGGGTCAGGCTGGAACCAGCGTGTGTGCCTTTGCACCCTCACTGCCCGGTCAGCCTTGGGAGCTTCTGGAGGCTCTTCCCCTTCCCCGAGTGAGGACACTCTTTACCAAGGGCAGTCTAGGAGCCCCATTGTAAAAGTCACTAGTTGCGTGCCTATGTCAGAGCAAGTGGACTAAGCATGTAGGATTTCTAGTAGAATTGGTGCCCAGGAGCACGAATTACGATTCCTTTCAAACCTTTGATTCGGCAAACATTTATCATGTACCTGTCACATGCACATCACTGAATTAGGTGCCCTGGATGAACAGGGCATTGTCCTTGCCCTCGAGGATTCCAGTCTAGCCTGAAGACAAGTCTGTAAACAGGTCATTTATTTTAATTCAAGTGGGTAATTCATTCATGTGGTTGAAAATCTGATCTTACACAGTGGAAAGGTCCCTCCCCAGCAACAGCCACAATGAGGAGTTCTGGTGTCTCCCTGAGGGTATTTTCTGCATTTAAGCAAGTATATGTTCACACCTGTTCCTCCTATCTTTTTACTGAAATCGCACTTTATTGTAATCACCCTTCCTTTTTTATGTTCTGCACACTATTCCAGTGTATGGACGTACCATCATTTACCCAGCTAGTCCCTTGTCTTTTAGGCAGTTTTAGGCAACATGGTAGGTGGCGTGGTGCAGGTGAGCACAGGGTGCGTGGGAGACAGAGGAGAGCCCTCCGAGCCTGTGAGAGTCGGGGGGCTTTGTGAGGATACCTGCGGGCTCGGGCAGAAAGGAGGCAGGCACACTAGGCAGGAGGAACAGCCTAGTGAGTGAAGGTAAAGAGGCTGGAAACGCACTCCTCACATGTGCAGGCCACTGCCAACAGTAGCTCATGGCTCCCGAGGGCTAGCGGTGTCTCAGGCATCCATTTGTGCATAGCTCTGGCAACAGTATCCTGTCATCTACTTGGTGGCCGGCTGGGTGCCGTGCATTTTCAAGCACAGGAAAGAGGCAGAGGCTTGGTCCTGCCTGTTTGCAGTTCAGGAGAGGACGCCAGCTGTGTGGCCGGGCATAGAGTGTGCCAGGGAGTCAGAAGGCTCTGATGAGCGGAGGGAGTGGGACATCCTGGGACTGCGGCACCCAGCCCACCAGTGCTGGTGACCATGCCCGCTGCTGGGCACATCGCCCTGCTGAGTGCCTGCCCACAGAGCTCTGCAGTGGGTCCCCCTGTGGCCACCAAGGACAGCAGGTCCAGAAGGTGGAGCATTTGGCCCCATCCCAGTCTAAGGGACCAAGCCGGAGTTCTTTGCACAGTTTTGCACTTCCTTTCAGTAAAGGGCAGCTTCAAACAGCCCGGGTAGTGTCTCTTCTGGGTCCCTGTCACTCTGTATCTCTTCATTTACATTTCCTTCCTTTTCTTCCAAAGAGCAAGGCTTATGGGAGGCTTTCTTTTCCTTCTGTGACCCAAATAACTGAGAACTGACTGGCAAAGGCAGTTCCAGAGCCCAGCTCACAGAGGCACCCAGAGCCCTTCTCACCAGGCTAAGACTGTGCGGTGGGAATTGAAAGCGGGGAGGGAGCCTTTGCCTAACTTCCATCTTCTGAGCATCACTGAGCATTACACCTGCTGCTAGAAACTTTTCTGTCAGGCTGTCTGGGTTCAGTTTGTCTTCTCTCTTCTCTCGTACTGTTAAGAGCCTATTATGCCCGGGTGCTGCTCTAGATGCTGGGTGCAGGGAGCAGACAAAGTTGCTGGTCAGTGGAGGTGCACTCAGTGACCACAGAGTGCTGTGGTCTGTTGGGACATAATGCTGTGGGAAGGAGCGGGGCTGGGCAAGGGTGTGTGGAAGGAGAGTGCCTGGAGGAGTTCACCATGATAAATGTGGCATCGGGGCAGGCTTCCTGTGCAGGCACAGTTTCATGGAAGGCCTGCCGGTGAGGAGGCCAGCCAGGGAGCTGTCTGGAGGGAGGAGGGGTCCTCAGACAGGTGTGCCTGGCTTGCCCCGGCTCTTTTTCTTTCATTCTTTTTTCGCTCTCTTCATTATCAAACCAGAAGCTGAATTAATACATTAAACACATTATTTAAGCAAAGCACGGTCATCTTTACTGTGCAACCTAAAAGCTGGAAATAGCTAAGTCGAAAGATGTCATAGAATGACGCATATCCATTCGGCAAAGGTAATGTGATCAATATTGTGGTAACTTTGACAGTGTCGATGGTCACTAGGCTTACCGTGGTGATCACTTCCTTAGGTCTCTAAATGTTGAATAACTGTTGTACACCTGAGACAAATATAGTATTGTATATTAACTATATATATTTTAAGTATGTTTTTATTTATTTTAGAGAGGGGGGAGAGAGAGAGAAACATCTATGTGAGAGAGATCAATTGGCTGCCTCCTGCACACCCTACTAGCCCACAGCCCAGGCATGTGCCCTGACCAGGAATTGAACTGGTGACCTTTTGGTGCATAGGATGACTCTCATTCAACTGAGGCACCCATGGCTTACTAACTATATTTTAACAAAGAAATCAGGAGACAAAGCAGCATAAAAAAAATAATACATATACATTGATTATGTGTTCAGTGTAGCATAAAATGGGACAAAAAAATCCCTGCCATTGGAATTGACACTCACATGGAGAATGCAGAAAAAATTCTTAAAACTGTGGCAGAAACTGGAGTGATCTCACCAGTGGTTTCAGCAGGACAGACAGACAGAAGGTGCTAATCGGGAACTTTAGGCTGGGTGGAGTCTTTGCTTCAGATACTGGGCATCTATGTTGTGCCAGGCCCTGCACCTGGGGGTGAAAGGTAAATAAGACATAGTCCCTGCCCTTAAGAAGCATACAGTCGGGTTCTCCTCATGCCAAACCCCGTGTTCGCGCTGACTCAGCTCCTTGCCGGAGCCGGCACCCCTGCCTGCTTCTGGACCTGGTGCTGTCCTTTACCCTTTCTCTGTCCCTTGTCCTGCGCCTGTTCCCACGGCCTCACGAGAGGAGTCAGAGAAAGCTGTGTAACTGCACTCACACATAGAGCACCCGTCACTCCACTCCTGCCGGGGCATTTTCTTCTCAAATAGGAACTGTTCCCTCCAAATTCCTCTGTGCAGTGTTGCCCTGGGCATGACGGAGGGAGTTCAGTCCAGGGAGCCTTCCCTGGGCTCCTGAGCAGCACTAAGTAACTCACAGACTGGGGGTGTCTCAGAGAGAAGGGCAGCAGGTCGAAGGTGCACTTGATCACCTTGAATTAACAGCACATCATCGCATTGCTGGCCTCGGCATTAAGCCTAGCCTCGGCAGTGCCTTTGGCCTTGGTTTCTGTTGCTCTGGTCAAAGTACTAATTTTCATTGTTAGAATAAGCTGCAGCAGATAGTGATGGCTGCCTGACCTCTCTGGGTAGACAGTACTACTCTCCTCCCGTTTCTGATCAAGGCGTATTTCTGAAAAGTTGGGTTAAGTGAAAATGAAAGTTTGAAGGCTGGTTCCTATTTTGTTAAATATTAAAAAACACAATTGCTGAATCAAAAAGTTCTAGACCTATAAAATACTTTAAGAGAGTAACAAAGTCCTATTAGAGAACTGGTGAGTATTAGTTGCTAAAACAGTTCAGATTTTAAACTTGAACACTAATGAAATGTCTTCTAAAGCGATAGAGATGTGTGCAGTGTTCACAGGCCTGTCCACTGCGCAGACGTCTGTCGAGTGCTAGGGGCTGTGGGAGGTACAGAGACACCGACACGGGGCCTTACCCTGGGAGAGCCTGCTGTCAGGCCAGTGGAGGAGGAGGGTTGCCCTGGCCACCAGTGTGCCAGGGCGCATGTGTTGACTGCAGCTGACCACCCACAAGGACACTGTTGCCCGTTGACCGCTGGCCACATCGCTTCCATGCCTTGCCCAGGCAGGTGGGTGGGATCTGGCTGGGACTTGAGAGTTGAAGCCTGGATTCAGACTTGGGTGCCCTTTGGGTCTGGGTGCCGCTTTGCCCGGGCCACAGAGATGCAGGGAGTGTGGATCTCCCACTCTTGGAGTCCTTCCCCCTCATTTCAAAGGCTGTGTCCTGGTTTGAACCTGAGTTAGTCTCAGTGGTACTATGTGGCCTTAGTTTCAGGTTCCTCCTGGTTCTCATTGAAGCAGATAATTCTGTTTTAAACATATTTTGGCCAATAACTGCCTGTAAAATTTCCTTCTGTCCCATTTGCTCGTCCTTGACCCCTCGAGCCTGGCTTGTGAAGAGGAGGGTCCCCGTTTCTCTAGAGCCCCCCATACCAGCAGAGCCGCAGGACCCCCGTCATCTCTGCTCTCCGAGATCTAGAAATCGGCCTCACTTGAGGGTATTTCCTGTATTACGCTTTTGCCTTGTAAGGATTGTGTGTGCGTGAAGATTTTCATTCCACTTCCAGTGTAAGTGCTTCTTAAGAAAAGTTCTCTGTGCTGTGATGACTTTGACTGTTTTACTCCCCTTGTCTAGAACAGGAAAGAACACTCATCAATGTAAAAACACTAGGGTTGTAGTCCATAGTTAGTGATTGAATTTGTTCTGTATCCTGAAAGTTTGTGAACTTTTTCTGTATTTGGTTCAATCTAAACAGTTCCCCGTATTGAGCACTGATGTACAAGGGATGACTAGACGTCAAGAAAAGCAGACCTGGTGGGAGAAGGCCTTGTACTCTCCTCTCTTCCCCACGTCAGAGTGCGAAGGTAAGGCAGCCTCTTAGGCCCGTTATTCGTGTTTCTAATTCATTCAGAGCATTACATTCTTCTGCTATGAATATCGGCCCGAAAAGCATTTACCAAGAGGTTTCAGTGTGGCTAGCATTTGTCAGGCACTGGGGACACAGAGGACAATGAGAGCCAGTCCCTGCTCTTAAACTCCACCACAGCCTGACGTGGGGAGGACATGGAGACGCCAGCGGTGCTGGCTCCCAGTGAGTCCTGGGGAGGAAGGTGGTGCGTGGAAGCCTACAGACCGCTGGGGAGGGGCAGTGCCGGGAAAAGAGTGGCTGCAGGAAGGCCAGAGAGTCCAGCAAATCAAGGGCACAGGGCCCCGCTGGGTTGTAGCTTCTCAGGAGGTGTGGGAGCCCCGCTGGGTCAGGTAGTGTTTACCATGTGGGAAGGGAAGGCCACTTAAAGGATTTCAGATGGTGTCGGATCTGTTTTAAAACAGTCCTAGCAGCAGAGTGGAGATGGAATAGAGACACTGAGGGGCTTCAAGAGGTGCTGTAGAGGATGCCAGGGTTTGTTGAATAACTTGCTGTGAGGAGTGAACTGTAAGGGGGAGCTCGGGGAGACCGGGCAGAGGGAGGTGGGACCAGGAGGTTTGGTGAAGGTGATTTTTGTCTGTGAGCCTCCCAGGTAGACCCATCCAGAAGCTATAAAACACCTGGGTCTGAAATTATGAGAGAAGTGAGCACTGAGGAGGCACCTAAATGGAGCAGCGCAGGCAGCTGAGCTGGTCTGGTTGCTGCATCTCCCAGGCTTCAGCGCTGGCCTCAGTCTCTCCTGTCAGCCCCGTGGGGCACATAAATCACTTGCTGGTATTTGACACTCACATGTCTTGTTTCCCCAGCTGGTTTGTAGCTAGTGTTGCCGCAGTGCTGTCCCTCACTGCCTGGGATGCCTCACCTGCCGGGTGCTCGGGTGCCTGCACTGGCCTCCCTTCGCAGCCCCACCTCAGCTGATGGGGGAAGGCCAGAGTGTTTGCTTGTCTCTGTTCTGTGGACGCAGAATCATCTTCCCAACTCTGCCTTCCTCCTCCCCCAAGGTTTGCTGGGTCAGAAGGGGAGCACAGAGTGGGGGCTGCATTTTTAGCACTCTGTTTATTTAACAGCACTTAGTAAAGACCTGTTGCGTCACCATTTACTAATACTATTACTTGGTTGCCCTTTAACATTTACAAGGGACCCTCAGTATCTTTTTTGTTACGTAACTCCCACAGAAGCCGCATGCGCTGTCACTGTTAGTTTTCAGGTCGGGAAGCTAATGCTCAGATTTAGTAATTTGCCCAGAATCGTGCACCGACCTTCGAGCTCAGGCTTGCGTCAAGCTCAGGCTCATGTCCAGCCGTCGTCTTAATTCCAAAGCCATCTGCGCTTGGTTCCAGGGAGACACTGGGGCACTAGGAGCACAGACCTGCCTTGACTCATGTCTAGTCTGGTTCCCTGGGTGCGTGTTAAGTCACAGGCACAGTTAACAGAAATGCAGGTAGCAGGGGCCAAGTGCCCCAGAGCACTGCAGCAAGGACACCCCCCC